TTTAAAAAATAATTTTTTGGATTTTTTAGAGCTATTAATAAATGTACTACCGGTAGTACAAAGGCCTAAATCCTATCTATTACAGTATTAAGGATAGAAAAAATGAAATGTACAAACGATTCCCAATATAATTTTCAATCTTTCAAAAAATGAGCTTTTTTTTTTTAAATATAAAAAAGCAAAAAACGTTCTTTGGATGTCGCTTTTCAATTTACGGTCATCATATTATTTACAAGCATTGTAATATTCAGAGCGCTTTAAACTTTTTTACGCACATAAATATTAGATATCTTACATGTCTCAATCAAATAGATCACAAAGATCACGTACTAATGCGACTCAAGCATGTAAAATTGTCAAATGAGGCACCAAAGTTGCGAAAAACCTTCTGAAGGGGATATCAATGGCACCTGTGCATACTGTAAGAACAATAATCTCTACTGTAAAACACCCCGCCTAAAAACGTGGGAGAAAGCCTAGATCGCCCGGAACTACCGAAGCTCCCTATTCTTTAGAAACTGTTGTGTCATTCATTGGCCAAGGACAAATGCCAGATGATCAATATACTGCGTCAATTAATTCTTATGAACCTTCTCTTAGAACCACCAAAGCACTTATTAACCAAGAACCAACACCAATTACCACATCAATTAACCTTTACGAGACTATTACTTCGGATTTCGTAACCTCACATACTTATAATCATATCTCTACTATTCCTTCTTTCAGACCTACTAATGCATTTATTGGCCAAGGACAAACGTTAGATGACCAAAATACCGCGTTAATTAGCTCTTATGAATCTACTACCAGAACATTTATTGGACACAAAATTCGTCAAAATATTACACCAATTAACACTTAAAAACTAACATATTTATAATCATATTCTTCTTACGGAATATTTATTGGTAAGGACCAAATCATCCAAATGCTACACCAATCAACACTTATGAAATGGCTATTGAAGAATTGCATTCCTTCTACTCAAACTTCGAAACCAAATATATTTTATAAACATATCCTTCTTTCGGAGCAGAATTAGCCAGGGCGGCCCCCCAAAGTGCTGGTGACGTAATCCACAGTATATATATAGTGCAATATTGAATTACGTTATCTAAAAAATATATATATGCAGCTAGGAGAGAACCAATTAGTTGCACTAATTGATCTTACGTCACCAGCACTTTGGGGGGCCGCCCTGGCTAATTCTTCGGAGCATTTATTGACCAAGAGCGAACGTTATACAATCAAAATACTGCGTCAATTCACTTACAAAATAATCACAATACCACACCAATAAACCCCTACAGCTGAATTTTTTCTTGTGATGTCACCCGGCCACGTTACAAACCGATCGGATCAAAGGATAATATATATTAAGAAATTCAAATATTTATTATATGGAAACTATGTTTCAACATTAATCTTACAAATAACTAAGCCCCTATTCTAACTTAAAATAATAATGACTCGGAAAGTGAAAATAATCATAAATACGAGTCCAAATTAAAAATAATCACATATAAGGGCCTAATTTTTTAAAAACATTACATATCAGGACCCAAAATAACTGTGACGTTATTCAAGTCTGTGGCTTGATCGTTATTAGCATAAGAAATGTGAGCATCGGTAAATGTATTAAGCGCATAAAAAATGTAATGATTGATTGTAAGTTAGTAGTTATAAATGAGAAAAGAAATTTTTTAAATTTGATAAATTTCATTTTCTTTGTATAAAATTGCTTATTGTTATTAAAAACCACTATGTCAAGTAAAGCACTGTGAATTGGCATGACATTTACTAGTATGTAAGATGTTCGTTCAGCTCTAGAGAGCTATCCTGTTGAAACTTCTTTGCCTTATACATAATTGTGTTAGTTTAACGCTATTTTTTAATACAATATTTAAACGAAAATGATTACTTCATTTATTTTTATCTAATCGCGATTTTGCAATCGTTATAAGTCAAGTAGTTATAATACTTTGTGGCGCAATAATCCCGTGATCACTTTTTTTTCAACCATCAATAGATTTGGCCCTTGTATATTTACTAAAAATTAGGCCCTTATATGTAATTAGCCTGTATTTGTAATTATTTTCACTTTTTTAAAACGGGGTGTAGAAATTTCGTACTGTATTTTGTTATTGAACGTACTGTACTGTATATAAATATAGGTGTACTATAATATGTATCCGTACAGTACACCTTTTCATTATATAAAATGTAAATGAGTACTGTACTGTACGTATTGAATAAAAATTATAAACAACAGTACAGTACGATACGTTAAGATAAAATTACTACAAAGGGAATCCTGTTATCGAGAATTCAAGTTTATTGCTTACCGGACTCACTAAATTTGTTAGAATTGCAGAATTGTGACCGGTAAATTATATTTTAAATAATTTATTACGTATATAATTAAATACAGTATAACGATAAATTATTGCGTATATAGATAAATACAGTATAACGATAAATTATTAATAAAAAAATGCAAAGTGCATATGAATTAAAAGTTCAATTATATAAAAGGTTTTAAAAGTTTCTCTCACAACATTCTTCTTTATCAACTCATTATCACAAGCTTTTCATGCTCAATCCTTAAAAACCTTTCTTGTTCTTCAATATAGAGTTTTTAAATTTTTGATAACGAAGATTTAATTAGAATGATTGTCTTTGCTTTTAAATTCATTGGTTAGTATAATCTCAATAAGTTTCTGTTACATTCGTTTTTTTTTTAATTTGTGTAATAATGAAAGTAGCGAATTTAAAAATAATAACATTTCCGAAAATTCTATTTCTAAAATTTTTTCAATAAAATAAATTGTAAAATTTGAATTATATTGTATAATTAATATCAAATCGTTGGCTATACAAAAAAAATCTACACTTTCTAAACTCAACTAATATAAAATTTAAATTTTCATGTTCATTATAAAGAAGTTCGTTAGCATAAACTTTGACTATAATTGGATTTTTAAACAAATCTGTATTCATGAGCCAAATTAGCACAGATAAATAATTAAATATTATAGTTCTAAAATATACTCAAACTAGATAACGAAATAATGATATAATGAAGAGTTTTGAATTGCGGAATTATCGTATCTAGTAAAATATATTTAGTATTTCTTGATATAATTTATAGTATGGATTTTTTCCTAACCTGAGGACTTCATTATAGTGAATGAGTTATAATCGCGTTTCTTGTACGTATTACTGTATAGGAGATCACCTTTATTTTTTGTTGAAATGCTGTATAAATAGCAAACGAATAAAAAGAAAAAAAATTGTATACAGGTAACTTTCTATAATGACTGACAGTTCTTATAGTAAAAATTTAAAAAATTCATTGTAGAAGTAATTTTCTATGTTCCTATACCGACTCTATAATAAATTTGTTAAAAAAAGTTTATTATAGAGTGAGCTCTTTATAAAAACGTTCGATATAAAGAAAGTCGACTGTTTACATTTCCCGATTGATGGTTATTTACGGTACATACATAGTTCATACTGTATTGATCTTATTTCACATTCTATACAATCCAGTACGAATTTATCTTTACATATATGTATCTTCGTACTGTATCGTATCATTTCAAAATTGTATAAAATACAGTACTAAATTACCTTCAGTACAGTACACTATATATGTATATTCCACTGGACCATGACTGGACTGGACTGTCCAGTCCAGTGGAACTATATTAATTGGAACTGGAACTAAATTTATAAAACTACACGTGATTATTAACTAATAAAGTTTTGTTATTTCAATTATACGTATAAAAACTATATTATGGTAAATTAGATTATAACTAGATTTTTAGGGGTCGTCTAAAGCCTGGCACCTTACGAAATTTCCCGACCATCAATTATCATCGGATAATCACGGGTATACCTAGTCAAACTAAAGATTTTTTAAAACTTCTAGATTAAATTAAATAAATTTTTTTTATTTTAATTCTTAAAATACATAGAATTAAAATAAAAAAAAATTATTGAAATTGGTTTCATTGTTGTCGAGAAAACTTTGTAAAAGTTTAAAAAAACCGAATATCAGAGAAAAAAAGTTAAGTCGGGTGAATTTTTCTCTATTTAAACTTTAATCAAAGATTTCTCAACGCCCATCTATCCTAATTCGATCAAATTTTTTTTATTTTAATTCTATGAATCTATATAATTAAAATAAAAAAAATTGATCGAATTTGATCAGGCAAGTGTTGAGTAATCTTCATTCAAAATTAAAAAGAAATTTGTTGCAATTTTTATTTGATAGATACTTAAACTTTGAACGAAGATTACTCGATGCTTACCTAATCAAATTCGATCAATTTTTTTTATTTAAATCTATGAATCAATAAAATAAAATAAAAATAAAAATTGATAGAATTTATTAGGTAAGTGTCGAGTAATCGAGTAATCTTCATTCAAAGTTTAAGTATCTATAAAATAAAAACTGTGACAAATTGTTTTTTTAACTTTGAGTGAAGATTACTCAACACTTATCTGATCAAATTCGATCAATTTTTTTTATTTTAATTCTATAGATTCATAGAGTTAAAATAAAAAAAATTGATCGAATTTGGATGAATGGGTGTCAAGAAATCTTCATTTAAAGTTTTTTAAAAAATTGTAAAAAAAGAATAGTTATAATATATTTACTAGTTAAACTTTTAGCAAAATTTTCTCAGCAACCATTCATTTAAATTCAATCAATTTTTTTTTATTTTAATTCTATGTATCTATAGAATTAAAATAAAAAAAAATTGATCGAATTTGATCAGATAAGTGTTGAGCAATCTTTATTTAAAGTAAAAAAAGAAATTTGCAGCAGTTTTATTTGATAGATACTTAAACGTTGAACAAAGATTACTTGATATTTACCTAATCAAATTTAATCAATTTTTTTTTTATTTTAAAGCTATGAATCAATAAAATAAAATAAAATAAAATTAATAAAATTTGATTAGGTAAGTGTTGAGTAATCTTGATTCAAAGTTTTAAATAAAAACTGTAGCAAATTTCTTTTTTAATTTTGAATAAAGATTACTCAACACTTATCTAATCAAATTCTATCAATTTTTTTATTTTAATTTTATAGATTCATGAAATTAAAATAAAAAATTATTTGAATTAGGATAAATAGGCATAAAGAAATCTTTGATTGAGAAAAATTCACCTAAATTAGCTTTTTTTCTAATATTTGAAAGTTTTTTTTAAACTTTTACTAAAGTTTTCTTGATAACAATATAACCAATTCAATAAACTTTTTTATTTTAATTCTATATATTTGTAGAATTAAAATAAAAAAATTTATTTGATTTAATCAAGTAGTTTTTGAGAAACTTTCACTAGAAGTTTTTTTTTTTATTTTAAGAGTGGCATTTTTTGCTTAGGTCTTTTATTACATATATTATAATTACAAATTATGTGATAACTATAGTACAACTAGTAAGACTTTAGCTTAAAACTATTTTATTCACAAATACATATTTCTATCTGATTTATCTAACCCTATTTCTAGTATATATCAGGATTTCTATACTATTAAATTATATTTAATATATTCTCTATATACTATATAAACTACTAGATTGGTAGAATTTTTCTGTCATTATACCTAAGTACTTCCAATTTGGTATATATACCTATCTATATATAGAATTTTATTTTAGGTAAATCTTCAGATTGCTTCTCTAGTCATCTTACTGATCTTCATATTCTTTTAGTAATAGACTTATCATTTGAGTATATATATAGTATATCTATTTATATACTTCTCAAATTAGTATAGATCTAGATATGGTATAATTCTAATCAGTATAGCTATTTCTAATCGAGTTTTGTATAATAATA